GTTTTCTACAGAAGTGACTGTCATGTGAAATGCGAAATAGAGGTAATAGTCAATTTAGACGGAACATTTAAAATATGACTACTGAGAATAAAGTAATATGAGTTCCAAAGGAGTTAAAATCTTCGCTTAAGTGCCTTTTGAATAGCTTAAAATGAAGTAATCTTCAAGAAAGCAGCATTAGACAAGCAATTTGTACAGTATATTGCAGAGAGAACCATCAGGTATCAGCTGTCACATAGTTGTCATCGTTCAACATCACTATTTATTTCTAACACAAGCGTATAGTGCATATAGTGCTAGCTGCTTCTATCAGAGTGGCTTCGACTTTAACATGGAAGTCGGGTAATGCAATTTCAAGTAGGGGTAAATATAGATCAGGAAGGTCTCAAAATTCTAAGTGTCAGCAGGATCACTTGCTGATAATATTGTCAGGTTCAGCAGAATAGAACAGAATAGAACCAAGGCTGATCAATTTGACGATAAGATATGAAATTCAATTTAGAATCAAGTATTTTTTAAAATGGATCCGAAAATACGGTGATTCTTTGGGATACTTTTTCCACACTTTAATGCCACTTGATTTAGTTCATTTTAAATTAAAGTAGAATTAGAATCGGTTTTGCTAATTAAATATCTATTTTTAATCAGTGGCTTAACAAGGACAGAATGGAAAGCGGAAACAATTCAATTAATTGTGTTTAGAGGTGGCAATTAATTTAGATAGCAGACCGGTAAAATACGCAAATTTGGCAGTTGGCTAACCCATAAATGGAGCTCTAAATATCACGAATTCGAATTGAGCACAAAACGCTTCATAAGAGCTATTCATACTGCTTTTGACCTCCAGCCGAATTGCCATAGGAAAAAATTAGATCTAAATGACCAAGTAATCATTGTTATTTCAGATAAATTTATTAATCCAACGATAAAATTCATTTATTTCTGTTTATTTATTTACTTTTTACTTTTTCATTTTGTTTTTCTTTGTTGATTTGTTTACCGTTCTCACTTCTAAATCTCAATTTCACTAATTGCTGTTTACTTCGTTTGCTGCTTCTTTTGATCAGATAACTTCATTCTCGGCTTAACAGAATGAGATCCACATTTCCAACATTCTTGGGCAAAAATTAGAAAAGGTATGCAAGAATCAGAAACTGTATGACGTATTACTGAACTTGAATTCATTTTCAATCCACTCACTCATCTGCAAAAATACTTTTATGCTGTCTCATCCAATTGAAAACTTTCCATCCTAAATTTAGCTAGGAACAGTTTTTTGTACAATCCGGGAATCGAAAAAGTTGTAATTTCCAAATCATGAATCTGATGGTGCCAGTTTCTTGCTTGTCGATAATCAAGGTAAGATTGATTTGTCTCAGAATTAAGCTTAGTTTAGTCTTTTCAAATTTTTATTTCACTATTTATAACCACCTTTCTCTGGCATTTCCTTTTCTAACTTTATTTTCATGTATACGAAGATAATCCTGGACCAAGAATATTTTGATTTTGTTTTGGCCGATGGACGAATCGTATCAATCCGCATTCAATACTGAATCAACCTCATAACATTAATTGTAATATTAATCGTCTTTCTGAACAACTCGAATCGATGAAGATCCAAGTTGTCCATGAATCACCCAGGACCACAAGAAGACAGAAAATTTAAGTTGAATCGTCTTACCGAAGGGAAGTTAATGCATGCAGCATGCAGCCCGCTGCAGCTTACAGATACGCTCATTACTTCGAGCAGCTAAAAAATATTGACATGTGCCAACTTCTTTATCAGGAATTAAACGCATTGCAGAGAAAAAAAAACGATTCCTCTGTTTCTGAAAAGTAAAATATCAGTTTGTAAGAAAAAAGTAAGAGGGGAAGGATGGTTCAGGGACGTTCTGTCACAATGCGATCAGTGCCGCGGATGCGCAACATGTAATCGACAGCATCATTTTGCTCTTTTATCGACCTGCGATCAGAAACTGTGCGATATGCAACACAAAATATCCAAGGTCATCGTTGATAATTTGCTTGTTAAATTCATCATCATCTTTCACCATCACTGCTACTATTACTTATATTTATGGTTTAAGGAGGTAGTGCTTTGCATAGTCTGAACTCTCGTATTGATACCATCCTATCCTATGACAGATGATCGAGCGGTACTATCAAAGAATTCTGTCTTATTTAACGATTTTTTTAAACACTTTTTGAGATTTAAGCTGTATTGATGTAATTTAGACCCTTTACTTTGCATTTCTTTGAATGCTTGAGCATGAACTCTGGATCGCATTATCTTAAACCAGTGGTTCTTTCTACTAAGCTAAAAGGATAAAGACGAGACTATGACCGAAAAAAGAAACCAGAAAGGTAAGGTTTGAAAGGTTACTCCTTTCCAACAAAGAATTGCCAAAAGAGTTTCATCTCTCGTCTCAAGATGATTTGCTTGCTGCTCACTTAATCTTTTAGAATTTCAAAGATTTAATCTTTTAAATCGTAATTCTGTTTGCTGTTTCTCTTATTGTAGTACTTTGTTTTACTTACCTTAAAAGTGTCTACCCAGTATAGCGACTTGTGGAATGACTTATTTACCGTTTCTCGCATTTTTACCGCAAGGACCAAATTATGGATAATTATTCTCGACATATATACTTGAATTGCGTAACTTTGTGAAATTCAAGTTAACTCTTCAAAAGGCTCAATTATATCATTTGCTTTATAACGCCCGGCCAGTAATGGCAAAGCTTAGGAGGCAAATAAAAATTGATTATATTCTATTTTGTTTTCTGCTAGTAAGTACCATATCAGTTGAACAATATTTACTTCATAATTTGCGAAATAAATTTTTTTTCGCAAAATTGCGGAGATTTACGATTCTCAAATACAGCTAAACTTCAAATTTTGTACATTCTAAAAAGATCATCCAAAAGCATATCAGTGGCTCATTACTTTTTCCATTTTTTGCATTAATATTCGGAGTGCACCCAGGACACTTCAAATCCAAATTCCACTTAATAGTAGTGAAGCTACAGTAAGTCTTCTTCCACTTTTTGCGTTCCATCAAATTTAAATTCCATCATTGCAACATTCGCTTGCCTTCCACATTTCTTTTTACATTACGACGACTCTCTTTGAAAAGACAGAAATAATAATTTGTAATAACAGAGCGCAAGCAATGTTTTGGGGTCCTCTACTTATATCTTCAATTTTTACATTTCCTTTACTAAACCGTAACTAATTTCTCTTTCTTTCTCTCTACTTAAAAATCTCTTGTTTTATGCTTTTGCTGTCTCACTTATTATCAAACTTCCTTAACGGTTTTGCCGCGTTTTCAAGATTTTATGTGTCAAGATTTCACTTTATAGTTTTGAGTTTTTAACTCCCAGCCTTTATAGTTTTATTTTTAAAGGTTCATATCTTTGCAAAGGTTCTGCATAGATCTTAGATTAATTCAAAATTTAGCATTGACAGTCACAACGTCCCTCATTTTCCTAATTAATCGTGTATGACACTGTTTTGGTTGTCACTTAATTTACGCATTACCCTAAATAGATATTACTTATAGTTGGGCGAATTTATCACAATCTGTGTGACAAAAGTGTGACGAAAGAGCAACTGAGATTTGAGAATGTGTACTGTTTTTAACTTCTTGAATTGAATTGAATTCGAGATGAAAGTCAAGCGATGAGTCCAGTCTCCCTTTTGTCTGTATGGCTTTTTTAGTTGAAATGCCAATAAATTGTAAAAGTTGCCATAAATAATTTATTTATAAATTATTTTAATTTATCATTTGGAAAAATTCGAGTTATGTTTGAATGTTTCTGTACTTAATGGTTATTTTTATAATGCAATATTATAGTAAAATTATGTGTTTTAAATCTTTTATTTATTATTCTTTCTGATTAACCAAGAATTTTTACAGGAACAAAATGAATAAGCAGATCGAATTAGGTGAATCACCGTTTACTAAATCTATTGGATCTCTTCTCTCGCAATACAGAGATTCTGTCTATCTCTCTCTGTACAACTTTTCCTTTACCATATTTAGCGATCATTAAACCTGACATATACGCACTTTCATTTATCAACATCCTTAACTTCACTCATATTTCATTTATGAGCTCTTTATCATTTCTAATTGTTGACAACTATCTTTATCTTGGAATCGTCATATCTTGAAGGGTTGATAAAATAAACCGGTTTGCGATATGTTACTTAGCTTATAACGGGTATTAGTGATACTGTGTTAAAGGACTTCTAACAAAAAGGGTTTCATGGTTCTGTTTCCGTTTTGGTGCTGGTGGCGATACTATCATCACCATAACTATGATTTGTCACTACATTATCGCAAGTAGTTTCTTTTTTTGTCATTCTTTATTTCATAATATGTTGTATCCAAACATCTACTGCCATCTTGAATCCGGTCCAAAATTTAAGTTTAACAAATACGTAAGCTTTCTGGGTGAGGGTTGGCTTTTCCAGGAAACTTTGCTATTGAAGTTTTGCTTTTTTTGTAATCCCAAGTTGTTCAGTATAAATTTGAAGCCAAAAAATTTAACTCTTATTTAACGAATGCTCGTTTTTTTAATAGGGTTGTGATAGTAAGCGAGTTGAAGAGTCAAAAAGTTTTAAAGTACAATTTTCTAACTTCATCTTCTCTAATGTGTGAAAAAGCCTATCTTTTCCCAATATTCTTATCATCGGCTTTTTTTTGGTTTCGAATTTCGGGTTGAATTAAATTTTAATTAATGCGAAACTTAATCCATCCTTTCTGAAAGAGCAATGTGTACGGATCCTCTTCATTTTCTGAAATGAGAATATGTAATCACTGCGCTATATAAGCTTAAAAAAGCATCATCAAGCAAATAAAATAAGCTTAAAGGATGTCCAAGATGACAGAATGATCTGTGCCTCAGATATTTCAGTAAAAGGCGTGAAAATTGAAAATGACAATCAACAGACTCTTTTATCACGCAATAAGAAGACATCGCAATGGTCTATGCTATTTTGTGCAAAATGTTGGTAACTGTGCTAAAAGTTGACTGATATGATAGCGTGATATATTTATCAGTACCTAACTGTTTCATGTGCTCTTCTCTTTGGAAATTAGTTTGCTATATTCGAATCTAAAATGTTTTTCGAAACTTCAAAGTTATTATACATCTCAATTTATGGCGTAAAGTTTCTCCTCTACCTTGTCGGTCTTAGAAATGTAAAGGCTCGATAAATGCTTAAATATTCTTGATGTTTCCTTTTTTCTCCTTCATTAAAGTAAGAACTTTATGAAGTAAATTCCAAACGAGCTAAATGTTCCTTTCCTTCCTTCTTTGAATCCCAACTAATTGCTCCTTTCCTTCTTTCTTTTCTGTCTCTTTCAGAAAGCCAAAATTAAAATTTGAAAACCCAAATTAAAAATTAGAGGTATCGAAGACTTCTTTTGAACTCTTGTCTTTTTAGTATTTTGGATTTCTTAAAAATATTTACAAATACTTTTCTGAGCACGATAACTGCATTTAAGGGGTATTTTGACTATAAAGGCTCCATGTTACAAGACATTGTATCCAAAAGAATGGATTTATATCAGCAGATGTCTAGAAATGCTAGTTTTGTAGCTAAGACACTAAAATCTGTCCCCGGATGACAGTACTATTTCTTGAAACTCAAACATTTTTAATTTGATTCGTAAAATTTCCTCTAATTTCTTTCGTCATTGAGCGGAAATAGACATTGCTTGTTGAGGAGACAGTCCATGACAAAAAGTTAAACATTTATTCAAAATTTTAAACGCTTTAACTCTAAAAGAAAAGAGTAACTCATGTTAAATGGTCGATTTTGAGTAAATTGGATTGAATGGTTTTGCTTCCTTCCAAGCGAATTTCCTTAAAAACTTACCTTTCAGAGCAGGGAAAGGTAAATAGTCAAAGAATGCAACGAATAGATACTTCTTTCTCATGATCACTAATAAGTTGGATGACCTCATTTGTGCTATGGTAAAATCGGAGTTCTGAAATTTTGGAAGGTAGTGGTAGGAGGGGGGCGCATGGTGCAGATGTATCGCAGTATATTTCGCGGCCATTCCCATAATAATGTCATCATTTGCCATCTCCTGAACAATTAGTAATAGGGAAGTTTTTGGGAAGATGCATAAAGAGAATAAAAGTTCGGAGTGTTGAGCGAGACGCAAGATATGATGACCTTTGTTGAGCGAGGGGCAAGTTATGATGACCTTTGTTGAGCGAGGCGATTTGTTATTGCCATTATTTCATCTGCAATAATCATACTATTCAACAAATGGATGAATTTTTATTGATAGCATTTTTGTAATGTGTAGGCCTGTAAACATTATCTTGTAAACATTTTCTGTCACAAGCATCGCAACGTACTATTTGAGGTGCACAAAATAAACTCCATCAGGATATTGTCGCATGCTAACCTTAGGTAACGATCCAGTTTCTGGATGGTTGAATAAAAAGTTGGATCTCATGAAAATTCTCTTTGAGAAATCGTCCTTCATCTCAGAAGGATAAAACAAGCGTTCTTCCAATGTGTCTAACTGCATATATTATTTGACTCAGTTGACCGACAGAAATAATTACGTGCATTTACCAAGCATGAAAGAAGCTTACTTGACCATCAGCGATAGTAACAACTGTACGCTTAAAAAATAAATGTCTCTACTTTCATCAAATTTCATCAAAATTTGTGTAAATTCAAGTTTATTTGTATTATTGGATGAAGTAATTCAAGTCAGTACAGCAAAGCGCAGGTAGTTTCAAATGAAAACGGATATATATATATATATGAAATCATTCTTGGCTTAAGTATTTTTTTGTCTTACGAGATTTTATTGTTCAACTGCCGATTAATTAATATCCCACCTTGGCTTTACAAACATTTGCAAGCAATGAGCGTCTTGGGAGAGTTTTTCAATGAAATATAAGATGACCACTTGACATCAACAGTATCTAGAACGATAAATGTAGTACATTTATTCATTTGTTTCTTTCATTTCTTTTTATTCAATCCTTCCCGAGCATCAGTTTTATTTATTGATTTTTACACTCATAATTAGGTGAAAAGATCAGTTTTATTAGCCATTACCAATGAAGATCATTCAATTCCAATCATTTAAATCATTTCAAGATCAGTCAGTAGACAGTCAACATAAGAAACGCCAACGTACATTTGAGACATTGAAAAGCGGTTATTGATCCTTTAACTGATCATAAAAGAGTGTAGAATATAAAAAACGTTTAGGTGCAGCATGTGGCAGTCATACGCTTTGTGGGCACTCTATCTAGTAACGATGAAAATAGGCATCATTGGTAATCTTTGGGTCATTTGTTCCGTCATACGCAATACACGACCTCAGACACATGGGTGGTTGCGACGGCCAAGCGACTGTCTGAGAAGCTATATTTTTGTTTTGGCGCTTGTTGACTTTTTTGTCGTTTGTTCGCTTGCTTTACGTATTGTGTATGTTTGGGATGAAACGCTAACTTTCGGTAAGTCGGAAACTTCAAGTAATTCAAAATTAAAATTTAAAGGATACTTTGGGATGTCAGCATGAATGTGACATAGGGAAGGAGAGGAATTGAAAGCAAATGGATAAAAGATTCAGAAAAAAAATACTTAGACTCCCTCGGATAATTAATTATCCCTCAATTCTTCAAATTCTGAGCAGTTGTTTGCTTATCAATTAAAGCTGATGCAGAAAACTGAATTTGTAATCTGAGGTATTCTGTTGCAAATATGGCTTATCCTTTCGACGACAAACTTACTTCTTTTCAAAATATACTTCTTTTTGAAAATTCGTTTACTTATATTTTTTCAACAAATTATAAAGTTTTTGTTCGATCAATACATGATCAATTATCGATTTTGAAGAACTTTGGAATTGTCGAGGCTTGTATTTCATTGAGCAGTTATCAAAAATGGTATCCATGTTTTGCCTTGCATGTATCAGTATCGCAAGATATATTACAATAAGTAAACCTTTTAGCAACCAGGTATCATACAACTTTTCTGTAGTACTTCGAAAATGAATTCATTTGCTGTTCACTATTTTACTCATTTTTACTCTAATGACTTGCGAAATGGTCTGAATAAATCCGATTCAGTTGTATGAATACTTTAAGTAATGAATTAGACCTCACATTATGGAAACTTTAGCTCCAAATTCAATTTGTAATCAATCGTTAACAAAAAGAATTCCAGATTCATAGACATTTTCATCAACGCTTTCCAGCAGTAACTTTATTGCCATGCTTCCTTGTCCTTATTCCAATATTACTTACGATGAAAACAATCGATGTTACCCCGGACAGGTGGGATTGTCACATTAGTGATGACAGTGCATGGAATCGACTAACGGGCCTACTTGTTGGAGCATGTTTTATTTTATTGTTGATGCTTGTGAGCGCCAACTATGCGGAAATTGTGCGACATGTGCACCGGAAATTTTCAAGACGAAAAGCACGACGTAAAAGTTTTCAAATAGAGTTAATTTATCATTTGCATAAATTTATAAGGTGGAAGCTTATGACTGTCAATATAGCAGTGAGTTTTTGGATTTATTTTTAAATTTTTCAAAATCCTATCTATACTATTACAAAGTGTAAACCGTACAAGTGATGGATATAAGTCTATATAATTTCTCCTTTACCGAGCATTTTCTCGTTTTGAAAGATCAATTTTGGACTGTTTTTTTTAGAATTGGTAAGTTGCAATGGCAAACATTATCAATTGTCGGAGCCTCGATACGTACGTGAAATGACTTCCTCTATTGTACGTGTCGCTGTATTTCACATGATTTGTTGGCTTCCCTTTTGCTTCATTGCAATGATTCCTACTGAAGTAACTTTTTTAACTGAGATATAAATTATTATATTCTTCAATGTTGTACACAACCAATATTTCTTTTAACTTGTTTTCGCTGCGAAAATCTCCTAAAAGTTTGAAAATTTGATTAAAAAAAAAGGAATTTTAAATTTCGGACATGCTCACTGGTACTGATATCAATACGAGCAATTAATCGCGTCAATGATAAACACGCCTGGGTGTTGTGGATTCTAATACTGGCAAACTGGTTAACATATTTGAACTCCGCATTGAACTGGATTTTCTATGCTGTGCTGAATCGAGACCTCAGGGAACTGATCAGGTTTTTCGCTTCTAGAATCATTATAGAAACTAAAGAGAACTGAATCTCCTTCAGTAATTTTTTTAGCAGTAACTTCAACTGTACTATCAAAAAATGATTACATTTGTTATTAAAACATATATAAACCTTCTCTTTCCGGATGTATTATTATACGGCTCAAGTTGGAATTCCATTTCTTTCAGGAGTTAAATGAAATGAAAAATCGCTGTTTCCCTTGCAAAACAATTTTGATTTTTTGAGAAGTGGCATGTAGTTTCAAAAAGTTAGCAGTACTTTTTCCCACTTTGTTCCAGTATTTACTATAGACTGCAGGAGAAAAGTAAGAGTGTCCAAGTTAGAAAATGCAACATTAAATGATTGCAACCTTGCAATAACTGAAGCAGTAACATCAAAAGTCGTAGTGTCAGAAGAATCGAGTTGAAGAAAGCACACATTTCTCCTACTGCATTACTTGTAGCACGCATATTTGTAAATTCAACAAATGGAAGGAAGAAGAAGAACAGATATGCTCTGACTTTGACTTATAATGTTTTTTGTTTTAATGCACTGATATTAATTTAGATATGAACTTCCTATTGCCTTAATTAAATTGCTGTTTGAGAGAGTGAGAGTATGAGTGCTTGTTGTGAATTGAGACGTTGAATTAATTCTTAATTAACTCTTCCTCTATTCTTTGATTTTAGCTTATGCTTGTACTTTTGAAAAACTTTTGGATTTTTGTTCTAGAAGTAATACGAAACGACGGAAGCGTAGTGCAATGACGTATTACTATTCATCATCAAATTTCACGAACAAATATTCCCGACAACGCTCGGATCGAAGTCTAAGTATTCATGTACTAGCTGAAAGTTTGTAATTGTAAAAACTGAAATTGATGCAATCAATGCTCGTTCTTGAAAGCAAAAGTTCCCAACGTATGTATATTTTTTAATTTCAAAATCTAATCATTTTGGGATTCTAAAAGAGAACAAATTCGCTGGATTTCAATGAATTAAGGCTTTAATCATTCTACCATTTTCTGTTTGAGAGATTCCGGACTATTCTGTTTAACTTTATCGTTTATCTTTTTCAGATTGCAAGCAGATTTCCTTAAAGCAATTACCATTGATTGTTGCACAGGCAAGAATTTAAATTCGCCACAAAACAATTGTTTTCTAAATCAAATGTATATCTGGATAAAGATATATTACATTTAAAAACAAACAAATTTAGACATTGTTTCCACAATCCTGATGTTGGAAATAGCCGCAATTTTTTCGTGATAACAACGACGATGGTGAACTGTGACTATGAAATGGTTTTTAGTAATTCCGGTTGTACTGCATTTCCCAAAGTTTTATTTATCATTGCAGACAAAAGTAACCTAAGTTACTGGGAAATATCTATAAAGGATATTCAGGAAGAAAAAATACTGGATTTTTTCGAAAGAAAATCCGGCGAAGAAATAGGTATCAGCAAATGTTACTGGTGATAGTGATAATGATGCTAATAGTGATGATTTAACGGCAATGCTAACAATCATACGAGGTATCAAAGTCATTACGAGAAACTTCACGCAAAACCCTTATCACTAATTTCATTTTTCTCAAGATTTAAAACTCAAATTCGAGATTCGCCAGAGATCTCCACTTTTACCAAATCATTTCTGCTCTCCAAATTCACTTCTTTTTCTCTTCCCCGATGTTTTTAATAATTCATTTATATTATTACAACGTATTTTGTTCAAATTTAAATTCACTTTAATTTTTTTCTTGATTTTTTCTCAATGTGCTTCCGACCATAAATCGATTGGATGGAACCTCAAACAGAAGGACGCGAGATGAATCAGAAATCAATTGCTGGTCCACTTTTATGGATTGTGAACTTCTTTAACAATTTTAGTAGACAAATCTACAAACGGAAATATTTTTTAAAATTTTTTGAGTTTGAGGCTTACTTCAGCATTATAACCATACGTATTTGTGTTTCTGATGTTAACAATGGTTTTTGTATGCCAGACAAGAATGTCACGTGGCCATGAATCCACTCCAAAGGGTGTCAAGTCATTCCAGCTCACATTCAGATGATTCATTAGACATGGTTCTGGGGAATGCTCTCGACATTTCCTCCCCCACCCCGCTCTGTAAAAAGTAAATAAGAGAACCATCGGAGTATATAATGACGTGATTCAATGCTTATCTTCAAACATATCATGACATCTGTCGAATGTCTCCAGTCTGCTCAAATTCCCCTTTTTTCTCTTCCTTTCTGGTGAAAAAAAGTCCGAAGAAATGAGAGAAACATTTAAAAAACTGTGAAGAACTAAAGTTGTCTCAACTAGGAATCGCTTCGTTTAAACGCTTTTTGATGAAACTAGAGACCTACCGAAAGACAGAAATTTCCACCCTTTGTATCTTAAGATTAGCCATTGAAAAGCTTACTTTGGATGTTGCAAGAGCAATTCAAGATTTACAGCAAATCCAGCCATGTCAAAGCCCCACTTACGTTTTGGTGCATAAATTGTTTGCCAGCCTACTACTTTTTCATTAAGAACTTTCGGTGCTTCGACCGCATTATATGCTACTAAACCTGCAAACGGAAATATCACTTGATCCGTTTTGAGGGAAATTTGTGGAGATTCCTATACGGTCCCTATAGCTGTACTATGAAATGCGGGAGTGAAGAAGTGCTTAGTAAGGAGCAAATGAAGAGCAATGTAAGGAAAATAGTGGAATGATTGGCTCTGAGACTCATCCAGTCCCGTCACCCAACGTAAGAAGGAATGAGTAGCCAATGAAAGTGAAGGTGAATGCATTTTAGTCAATTTTGCTAGACGACAAATTTACTTCTGCAATTCTGCACTTTAATTTATTTGAGTCATTAATTACTTTTCATATCGCATTTGATACTTAAATCTGAAAACAAGCCGCAATGATTGATTCATACCACAAAAAAAAGGACTTTTTTGCTGACTCCGAACGGTATGCACTAATTAAAAAAGTATATACTTTATTAATAAAACAATCTGTCTAGTTTTCAACACTCTGACTTTTTTTTTCTATTGATCTGTGTGAGAACAAAAATGAGAGTGCATACCAACAGCCCAAACACCAATTTTTTCAACATTTCGAATATATCGATTAAAAAGCCGAACATCGTAAGCGTTGTCATCGTCAGCAAAATATACCACCGCTTTGTTACCCATCGATGCAAATCGTTTCCGAACAAAATTCAATCCAGCATCACGTCCGGTCCAGCCACGGGCTGTAATTCTTTTTCACTGATAGTTAATAGTCTTCAAAATTAAATATCAAGGAAGGTTAAATGAAAGTAAAATGCTAAAAAGAAGAGTCATAAAAATGGATAAAATTCGAGAACGGAAAGAATAAATAACAGATGGAATTATTGGACGATACATTTTGTTTAGCTTCCATGTTAAATTATTCTAGCATCAACTGCTCACCTGGTATTCCAGGTCGACGTTTGACAGCCAAATAGTAATACTCCAGACCACTACGATCCAGCAGTTGCTTTACAGATAACGATACATGTATGGCATCTTCTACAATAATCCAGATCAACTGACTGACGTGCATCAATGTTTGTGATAACCTACAATTAGTTCAGTATTTGAATAAAGGTCATGCCACCCATTTTGGCAATTTTTTTTTATATTTAAATTGTGATACAGAGTTAAAGGAGCTTCTACTGCCCGCAATTTTGCAGCTGATTTCTCTTAAACCGAGTCTTCGAACAATTTGAAATAGGAAATTATCATTTTTCAAATATTTAAAAAAAAAAGGATTTTTGTCATTCCAAAGTGCACATGAAGCAGGTCTCCTGATTTAAGTGTCGTAAAGAGTCAAGGTGATGCGGACAGATTTACCTGGTCATGTCAGCCAGTCGTGCAAGTCGCAGGTATGTTGGTGTGATTACGATAATTGTTCGATTACTGCTATTTTGATAATTGAAATGTTGCATGAAGCCAGTATTCGATGTTATCACTGATTCATAAGTTTCATAGTTCCTTTCTTCTACCAAATATATAATAATACACGTTTGAATAATTATTACAATTATTGCAAATACTGCTTGAATAGTGGAAAAAATACCATCAACTGACCGCTGGTTATGTCTATAAGTAATTAATTTAAGCTCTCAATATTTCAGTAATTCAATCCAAATGCTATCTAACCGCCCACTTAGGATATTATAATTGACCTCTTATAGTGTCGTGTAATTCTCCCCATAGTATTAGCATGTAGCTTAAAAGCAATGGCATTCGTCAATTGAAGCTGATGTGTGATGGTTTGAGCCTCAAGAATTATTGGAACAAACTGGACCTATACTTGTCCTACTTCTCTGTAAGTTGATACTTTCGGTAAATATGAATCTAATTTTTTTTTTAAGAAAAAAATTTGAAATTTGCTAAGCACTTCGAACAATTGCCAGTCCAAAAAAATAATCAAAATTAGAATTGTATTTTAACGGTAAAGAAATGCATCATATGCAAACGTTGACATTTACAATTTAAAATCAAAACTGTAACTGTTTTTCTTTTAAAATACAAGAACTTGATCAATTTTCGAAATTCTGACTTTTGCCGTTTTTTTTGTAATATAAAACAGAAAGTTAAATATTTTCAAGTCTCATAAAATTTCATTTTCGCTAATTTTCGTCTCCACTGAAAAAATTTTCTTACAGCCTTCGTAGAAATTTCATTCTTCGTAAACGCATTTGTTCTTCACTCTGAAACGATAGTATGAAAATTCATTTCACAATAAAATGTTGAACAAAACATTACAGTTTCACGACTTGATCTTTTCCACAAATCTGACTTCAACTGAATCGTAATTCAATTTTCGCTATGTCTCTTTCTTTTAAAAAATACAGTATGCATTGAAATTAATCATGATGATTAGTGATGATTACAGGCAAACGAATTATTTTAGAAAATTATGATGCTAAAAATCAGAACTGCAACTAGAAAGTTACGAAACTAAGACATAAATCTCGAAAAAAAACGAGATTTGGATAAAGTGAGACAGAATTCAAAAGATAAAATTCAATTTGGTTTTTCCAAATAATACAGTCTATAAAAGTTATGATTTCCAAAATCAATTCCAAATTAATCATCGCAAAAAGACAGGTATTTATAATAATTGCCATTTGAAAATTTGGTATTTCACCTGAGATCGTCCGCACAACCAGCTTAGATCCACTACTTCTACTAAAATAATTTTTACGGAAAATCTGATAATAAAGGTCATGCAAATTCTGAAATATTAGTTTCAACTTTCTTGTCACAAATTACTGTCTTGAAATCAAAAACTTCAGGAAAAAGCACCGTTATCACACTTGTTTTCCATATCCATCGGTAGCTTCCTCATGTGAATCGCAAAAGACTTGCTGTTAATCAAAAAAATTGCAGGATGAAGTGCATAATTTATTGTAATTCTAGTCATTTCTAGTCATGTTCTCTTCTCAATAACTATAAAATTCGAAATAAAGATTACGCGTATTATTATAGCTTATTTGCTACGCGTAATGCGCCAAAAAAGCTAAACTTCTTTTGACAGCCAATCAACCACATTTCAAATCAGCAGAATACATATCATTTCTATTCCTAACATAATTTTTTCTATCAGAATTACAAATCCAGGCTGATAGTTCTCACTTTTGTTTCTGACAATAATTTTCTATGGTATTTGTCACTTCCCAATCATTTGCAATAGTAAAGCTAATAGAATGGTGAGGATAATTTCAGAGAGAAAAAAAATGCATATTCATTTGCCATCAGTTTCCAACAAATTTCACAGGATCCGAACGACACCCCAAACTCTGACCGAACATTTCTCTTCCAAAGAGACAAACATACAGATCACCGGAAATTTTCAGAAAAACAGATACGTGAAATACAAATATATTCGTTCAGTGAAGGCCCTCAGTCTTCACTCTTACAATAAAATACATGAAACCAAGATTGCTTAGTCAATGACTTCATCAATTTTATTCATCATTGAAACTGCTCAAAAACGAGTAAATGCCTAGGTAATTCATTTGAAACAACAGAACAACTTACAATGAGGGTACGAGTCAAGGAACGATGGTGACAGCGATCTATTGAACGTCAAAAACAAAAACCAAATGCTGGTTGCAATCACAACAGCGAAATAGCAACGGAAGTGATAGTGAAAGCATAGAAAGAGGATGAACAGCAAAAAGTAAAACTGCAGGAACAATAATAAGATGACTAGAAATCACAAACCCGGAAATCTAAAACTGTAACAAAAATCCAGACCCGATCGAGATCCAGAATTTAAGAACAAATTACGTGCAAACGTTAAAAGGACCGGATGGGACCTAAACTAACTTATTATGGCCGCAGTTACCTTTTTTCTAATTCTTGAGGGAACCTGATGAGACTGATGGAAGAACGCGATAATTTACAGTTACAGCAAACAGTCAGAACAACTCTTCGTAAACGAGGCAGTCGAAAAAATGAACCGCGCCGCCTCAATTCGAAAAACATTCGCAAGAACAGTAGTCAAAAAAGTGGAAATTTTCGAACTTTTATTAATGCTGTCTTTTACAGTCAAAAGAAATACAGGTATTTTGTAATCCTTTCAAAAAATATAAATTAAAACAAATCGAGCATTTCAATTCTTTTTCCCTGTAACTAACACTAGATGCAAAAGGTTCAATCTAAAATCTGCCCTCCATTAAATTCCCCGGTGAATTAAATGTAAATGTGACATAACGGTTGAATACATCTCGGCTGCAGTCTTTCCCTACAGAATGATATGTAGAAAATCTTGCTTTTAACCAGCTGTTTCACCTATTCCACTGAAAATATGCTCTCATTCAGGCTCACCATTCAACAAAATTAATGTTCGATAAAATCAAGGATTAACATATACAAAGTTTTTTGCTTCGGTGATATCGCATGACTTTCACTTATTTACAGATAAGCTTTAATGTTCAGAAACATCAAAAAGAACCATCATAAAGTGGAAGTTAAAGTTGAAATTACTTCACAAATTCCAGTTTGAACTCTGAAGAATACTGTGTATATTGATCTAATCTATACTCAGTGCCTCCTCAAATTTTTTCTACTAATTTCATCACCAGATGTTTTCTGGTGTCACTAAGTCCTTTTTGGAAGTAGTTACCATCGAACTTTAAACTAAAATCTTTGGTGGTATAAAATATATCTGCTGGTCAGGATATAAGAAAAAACAGAAAAGCTGCTTCAAACACCAAGAATAAGAACTACAGTAAAATCTACAAGAATTTTCATTTTTGGAAATACTAATCACTTTACTCTTCGTTGTTTGGTCATGTTGCGCATCGAAATAACGCTGGATGCGGTGCAGGTCGCGAGTCTTTTTCTACCTGAAGTAAACAGTATATTTATACAATGAAGAAAAATCAATCAACCGATATATATATATATATATATATATATATATATATATATATATATATATATATATATATATATATATATATATATATATATATA